ACGGTGAGGGTTATACAATCAGGATCCATAGCACAAAAATGCATTTGATCAAAGGCTTTTTACCTTCTTAATACCAGAAAGGTATATCAGAAGTTACAGATTAGCAACGAGTATACAACGTGCCAACAAGAGAAAATATATAGAAGTTTGTGACCTAAAAAAACAGCCTTGAGTGGGTATATAACACAAAAGTCTTCCACCAAATCTTCTCAAGTCCACTAAAGAGAAGAAAACACATTAACAATGTTTAAATCCTAGACAAGCCAAGGGCATATCTCATTCATTACAAGCATAAACACACATTGTCATGAATGGTGTTTTAATAGTTTTTTTTTATAAATTTTGTACACAATAAACTATTATATTAATAGTTAATTAATGCATTGTTCCTATGGAACCTTCTATCGGGATTGACCGTTGATACACAGCCCAAACCATTAATTTTTTTTATTATTGATGGGACCAAATGGCTATTCATGTACCTTTATCTTTGGAAGCTCAAGCGGAGGCCCGTTTACTTATATTAGTAATTAAATTATGATAAATGATAAATATGAAATCCTACAGAATTTCATTAAATTTTTTCAAATGGAAATTGAAAAGAAATGTAGCTCCAGTTCTTTCGGAAATGGTAAGATCTTTGGCGCGAGAACAATAACAATTACCAATGACATTACTATTCACACAGGACATAAAAATGGATTCAAAATTTATCATAAAGGTAAAGAACCTTTATCATAAAACTTATCAATGATATTACTCTTCACGTGGGAATGCAAGAACAATTGTTTGTATGTGAGAACCTGTATGATGCCTGAGTAAGCATAGAAACAGCACGCAGAGCAGAAAGTCTGAACGATGTCATGGAAGGCATGGAACACACAGAATTGTTTATGGCATCACAACCTGTGGAAAACTTATCGATATACTACTACCAAGGTTATGAAAATCGCAAAGCGGAGTGAAGTAGTGAGCCACCGGTTAGGCTTTTGGGGCTTATGCAGATCAAAGCAAAAAAACGTCGGTGGATAAAAAAAGAAGCATCAAGAAAAAACTAAAAAAAAAAACCTACAAATGCATATTTGTAGATATCCTAAACAAGAAATGAACATGTATCAATCACACAATATTAACAAAAGACTAGTGCTTCGTCAAGCGCGCGCGGGCCCGGGGGGGGGGGGAGCAAGAAGGAGATGATGATTTGGGGTCTTACAAGTTTTTTGGATTCCTAATTGAGAAAGAGTGATAGCGGGATACAAGGGGTTTTAGGTGTTTTAAAGTATTATTAAGCTCTTTTTAATACTTTTCACTGTTTTTTTATGCTTTCTCGCACCTTCGCGAGTTACGTTGGACCATTTAGGATCGTTGAGCGTGTTGGAGCCGTTTCATATCAACTAGATCGTCCTGCATCAATATCGGGTGTACACAATGTTTCCCAGGTTTCGATGATCAAGAAGTATTTACGCGACGAGGAGCAGCAGAGAGTGTTTGACGCACAAGACTAAGAGATTCAGGCTGATTTGATAAACATTAAGATTCTATTTTATATTCTTGCTAGAGAGGATAAGAAGCTTAGAAATAAGATGATTCCTTTGGTTAAAGTGCAGTGGAACGGGAAAGGAGCTGAGGAAGCTTTTTAGGAGCGCGAGGAAGATATGCGTCGCAACTAACCACACATGTTTGAGCAGGTAAAATATTAACTATGATTTGTTTGTGTTCATATTATTTGTATAGCCACATTTACATTTAACGCTTTATACAACCATTTTGAGGCAAAGCAACATGACCAAGAACCACCTCCACTTAATATCATCGTCTTTCATCGCTTTTTCCCGCTATTTTCAACACCTGGAAAATTACAATGAAATTGCTAACACCCCCTAAAAACCTAAAAATTGCGATCAAATGTTAAAATTAAAGAAAAAACTGGAAACAGACTCTGAAAAATTCAAAAATTACAAATAAACCCCTAAAATATCTAAAAACCATTACAAACGACCCCTCTAAAATGTGACCTACTAAAGTTAAGAAATTACAAATAGTCCTCTTAAAAATTACAAATGCTATTGTGGTGTTCTAACACAAGTTATTGGAGTTAAGTGGCAAAAATTAAAATTTATTTGGGGTTTTCTACCAAAATTTATTCAGGAATGTTTTGATCATGATCATTTGACCAAACATGAACTAATGATATTAATTTGAAAAGTTTTCTGCCAGAAAGTTATTGGGGATTTGGTGAGAGTTTCAAAGATGTTGGAGGGTCAAACCCAAACTTATTAGGCGTTTGGGAAAATAATTATATCTTATTTTTTACAGAGAGGATAAATTGGTGGTCCTATGTAACTGTCTTATATTTAACTAAAAATAAAGTAGTGATTACTATTATGACAACATACTAGCTGTCAAATTAATATGAGACTATAATTGTAAAAGGCTAGTAAGTGAAAAAAAAACATAAACAAAGAAAAGAAAATATGTTTTTTTTTGTGAAGGAAGATAATTTAAAGGAGAAATTAAACCATATGAATGGGAATAGATGAAAAAAGAAACAATTTAAATGCCTCATTTATATATAAAAAGAGAATTGTGCTTTACCACTAGGCAAATATCTCAAACAAGAGGCATGTGTCTCTTCCTAATTTTAAAATTTTAAAATAAAAACTATCCACACGTTTGTTCAATGAGCCAAAAAAAATTATTTTGACTTCAGGATATTATAAAAAGAGGGATAATACAAAGGACTAATTGGTAGTTAAGCCATCTAAATTTTAATTTTAAAATTTGAAGTAAAAGGCATACATGCCAGTACTTTGCATCTCCTTTATATATAGAAAGATCTGAGTTTGGTTATCTAATTACAATCCCATTCCATTCCACATATTATGTTTAGAACATTATGAGGGAATTTAAAAGGTAATATTATGATCGTTTTTATGTCATAAGTCATTATTATAAGACATTAGTATGCTCATATTTATAAAAAAAAAGTGGATTATATAGCACACACAAAAAAGAAAAAACAATAGCCCAAAGGAAAAAAGTTTCTATAGTCAAACTTAGAAACATGGGCATAAGCGAAAAATAACTCATAGGAAAAAAAAAGATGTACAAATCAAAGAAACTAGGTCGACCTGTGCGAGCACGGGTATAACACTTGTTATTGTTAAGAAAATTCTCTTACATTATTTAATTGAAGAACTCCTTTACATTACCCGATCAAAAAGCTTTAATAAAAAAAATCTAAGTATGCTAGTGAACATGCACCATGCTAGAGAACATAAATTTCTTTTGTCTCTTTTAAATTGCACTATTATATAAAATATTAATTCCTAATTCAATTTCACTTTGTTAGTTTGTGTTCACTTATGTCTATAAACTTTAGCGTTATCATTGTGATTATTTTTGATGTTTGATTAGATGGGGTATGTTGGATTCTCGAAGTTGAGTTCTTAGAGTTAATTTTTTAATAACTTTCACTTACTATTCTCTAAAAGTTGAATTCTTTTTTATGTTTTTATCTCTCAAGTATAAAGAATAAGTTCATTCTCTTGATCACGTTTTAGTGGTGTTTCAAACATATTATTTGCTCAGATATCTGCTGGACTGTAGCTCAATGACAAAAGAATCTTTCTTATCATCATTGAGTAGATGTTTAAATAAATTCATCTAATTTAGTGCACTATATTATGTGCTGGTCATAAAATATATATTAAACCCAAAATAAAGGATCAAAGTATTTGACCCCGTACAACGCCCGTGCATCCCATCTACTACATATAAACATATATGTATGTGAATATATATATATATGCCGTGCAAAAAGTTCTATTCATTCGAAACCGTTAAAATTGCGGCGAGTGGATGAAGGGTCAAAACACGATGGGCTCACCCCAAAATTGGTGTGTTTAGGTTTAAGAACGTGTAGATCAAGTTCGACGGAGCGGAGCGAAAAAAACAATTAGGGAATGATGTGATTTTAGGCCGCGTCCTTAGGTGGGAATCTAAGGTGTCACCTTAGAATCACTTTTCCCATATACACACACACACACACACACACACACACACACACACACACACACACACACACACACACGTACATATGTGTGTGTGCGTGTATTGTACATCTACATGTACATATACATGTATGTGTGTGTGTGTAAAGAATAAAAGTTGACAAGCAAAAGTTGATAACCACGCCATCACTGTCCATGTACTGCCTACCTATTCTCTCTCCGCCTTTCTTTTTCTATTCACTTTATTTTTTTCAGCCTTCCTTTTGTTAGCATTTTCTTCACCTTTTATGATAGTTTGAAGCGTGAGTGTAACGCTCATTGCTCCTGGTTCTACATTTGTTGCATTTTTTCCTTGCTTCTAGCTTTCAATCTTTGGACGTGACAGATAATTGGTGGGGCTAATTGAATTGTAATTACTTTAGGTTTGATTGTTTGTCTCTATTAGACTTGCTCTGGATTGGCTTTACTTCTTTTCTTTTTTTCTTTTTCTTTTTCGTCTTGTGCCAGATTGCTTTTCTGTTACAATTGTTTTCTGAGTGAACGACATTGTAATATCCAGGCATCACATGGGGTAAGGACTGGTCAATGACATTACTCTTGTTATGGAACAAAAATTGGATTTGAAATTTATCATAAAGGTATTGAGAGAAGAAAAGGAACTCAGATGTAATTCAATTAAATGAAGTCAATGCATCTATAAGATGAAGCTACAGTTCAAATCCAAGCAGGTTCAAAAATATGTCATGTTTAAGGCTTTAAGCATATCCTTGAAATAAAACAAGTATACACGGAATATCTCTTATTGGCTTCAAATAGATAGAACCCATAAAGAATCAAATTTTTAGGGCCAACCTAGATACCGAATCCATTTCCGTCTTTTTAAGTAAGCATAAATAAATATGAATCTCCAAGAACAAATTTCATTTAAGCATTCAGCACATATCTTGCACCAGATTTCGTTGGCAGGATAAATAAGGGAAAACATACCTGTGTGGATGTATTTCAGAGCACGTAAAAGCTGATAAAGAAAAAACTGATAATGTTCTTTTGTCAAGTCATCATTAGCCTTGATAATTTGATGAAGATCTAATTCCATGAGCTCAAAAACAACATAAATATCTTTGAAATCCCTACTTGATGGGGGTAGCATAACATGTTTAATCTCTACAATGTCGGGGTGTCTTAAAAGCCTAAGGAGATTGATCTCACGAAGAATCTGAGCAGCATCAGAGATGTGCTCAAAGATATCATGTATCTTCTTGATTGCAACTTTCTCCCCATTGTGTATCAATTGCTGAACACACGACTCTGTAATTTCCTTTACCGATAACGTCCTGAATTTTGTATCTATTGCCATCACCATACTCTGTAAAGAAATCCATCTCTAGCAATTTCTTAGAATGAAAACAACGTTCATACTACTAAATTACTATTTGTAAGAGAAGACCTAGGTCAATTAACTCGAATAAATACAAATGTTAAATCAATATAATGCATCATTCAGTCTAGAAGCAGGAGATGCAATGACTTCGTTGTGAGTTGCCGATATTGGTAAGTGGAGAGTAATTCCACTTAAATATCTAATGCACCACCACTATGATACAACATGGTATCTCTTCATTGCTGCTAGAGACATCCCAATGAAAATCTAAACCTTAAAATTACATAATACAATCTTCAATTGGCTCATACTAAGTAACATAAATCCTAATGAATATCTGTTGATGTCAGATGTTTAACGGTAGGGTTTTGTGTGAGTTATAGTGTTTAGGGTCCCTCAGTCTTCTCAGTCTTCTTTGATGGATGATTATTAAGCAGAGAGTTCGATCCAACACACAAACAATACGTAAGAGGATCGGAGTTAGGTTCTCCGGTGGTTCCTCTGATGATCAAGTCAGTATTGATCTTAGTTGAAGAAAATATGAGTAATGTAGGTTGTAGTGCAAAAGTTGTATACCTTCATGTAGTAGACAATGCGCCTATTCATAGTAGATTCTGAAAGGTATTTGTGTAATCGAGTCCAAGCAGATGGCTTGATCAGCTGATACTTTACAAGTGTCAGCTTCAGGTGGTATGAGTCATCCTCATATTTATGACTCCAAGGGAGATGTAATTATGATTTATGGTTTTGACTGTGCATTTAACGTTATGGTGATTGGTTGTCGTTGAGGAGTTTGAGAAAGACTACCTTTTGTCTCGGATTTTCAAGGGTGGCCGAAAAAAGACGCCTTTCTATTTGGCCGTTTTGCATGATGACGCTTCTTGACTTTGTCAACTGAGTGATAACGCATTAAGTTGGTTTTAGCAGAAGGTTCTGAGTGAGGACGCCTTTCGACTTGACTCACTTGGGAGGAGCTGAGTTATGGTGTCCTTTGACTCAGTCTTCACAAGGTCGAATCGGATTGGTGTATAGTTAATTTTGAAGGGATTAACACTTAGTCATTTTTGTAATACAACAATATCCCTGGCCAAATGTTGGATAGTGGTTACTGGTTCAACTGTTTTATTTGCATATAACCATTCCAATCAATTAAAAGGTGAGAAATCAACAAACATTCACTTTCCTAAATAACAGCAAGGGAACCAGAAAATAAAGAATTAAATGTGATACAAGAAGCACTCTCAGGAGTACCAAATTATCCTGGTAAACCTAAATTTAAAAGCAAATAACCCAAAGGAGTTGGCTTGCCTGGGAAGCAATTATCTAATCAGTCAAGTTCAAGAGAGAACCTTTTTTACTTCGATCTTGCAGCATCTCTTTGCAGACATCGAATTTACTTCTTCAGCAATCCAAAGAGAACGAAAATGATTGGTTATCAGCAGTCCGTTAGTCAGAAAGAGATTAAAATCTTTGAAGAAGAAGAAGGAAAGGGATCGGATCTCAAGATGAGATAAAAATCAGCCGCATTTTCTCCATCTACTCCGGATCACAAATCCATAATCCCTTCAACATAAACAACAGATCCAACACCGCGATCATAGATGGGACAAGAACAACCGATGCCTCATCGGGATCCGATCTAATTCGATCCGATCGATCAGCTTCTGACTTGTTAATAAATTAATTAAGCGATAAGACAAGAACACGCGCTTTTTTCTTTCATTTTTAATTGTTATTTATTTATTTATTTATGTATTTACCACTCCTTTTTGGTGACGATGGCGACAAGGCGAAAAGAAGAAGGAAAAAAAAAAAGCAGAGAGAGAGAGAGAGAGGGGGACGGGGTGAGTTGGGTTACTGGGCCAGGGTGCATTTTATCCTAGTGGCAACAGCGGGTGCTTTGCATGAAGGCTTGTAGATTGGGCTTTTATCATTAGAAGGGCTAATTTGCCCTTTACTAATTTGATCTTAAAATTCAGCTTAAAATTTTGACACATTTGATTCTCCCCACACCTTACGTTTGTTCCTCCCTTTACCTGAACACGATAAGGCCGAAATTTTGTAATAAAATAGGTCTCTCATTCACTTTTCTATATTATCTTTTGATATTCTTTAACAAAATCACACCATTGAGTAGCCAAATAGAAATTGATGATGTCAGAGTTAAAAAGAGTGAACCACCGGAATGGAAATGTCTCCTAAATTTCAGCAAATGTAAATGTTGACAAGTCGTTGGTAAATATCATCCAGGCTGTGGAGCTTTACTCATAAAAGAAAAGAAAAAAGAGAAAAAAAGGAGCTGAATATTATTGAAGGAGACACCACAACAGCCGTTCCATGCAATCATCTGAGTATATTAACACATACTACATCCTAACTATCATCATCGCATTATGTCAACAATAAGCATGTTGGTAACATATAAACTATCTATTAAGAAACCATGACTGAAACCATTTCAAATTAGGCCAAAGTAATAATAGCGCAAAATCATGAATATATCTTCTTGAATTCTGCACCATATAGATTAATTTATCTTGAAATGAAAATAAAGATAGAAATTATTCATGCGGAGCAAAAAGGCATTACTAGCGTCAGATGACATACATGATACAAATGCTATGGGGGGAGCAACTTCTTAGAGAACTGTAAATACAAGAGTGAAGACGATACGATCTGGAGCTCTCCAGAGTGGGGCGGGTTTGCCCCATATAATCTCCCTCCAATTTTACCAGCTCCGTATGTGCATGCCGTTCTGGTACTGGAGAAAAACTGAGTGCATCTACTTGCTTGCAGATCTTGTTCAACTGTCTCAGGGAGAAAACCATGTTGAAGTCACCACCCTTTTTTTCCATTTCTCCCTGCAACACACTAATTCCAATGTCTGCTCCCCGAGAATTAACCAAGCCAAACAACAATGAGCTCTCAATGATAGCTGGTCTTGATATTCCACCCAAGGAGCATATCTGGAAATGAATATCAAAAGACCACAATAAGTATTCATAAGTTTGATAAGGGAACTGAAAACATCCTAAATGCTGTGGCAAGGCATTAACATTGACAAATTATTCGATCGATACTATACCACATAATTAGAATTGATAGTTTGATACCAAGGAATCGGACTGACAAACCTGTACATATTCCACTCCCATTTCAATAAGTTTGTCAGGGATATTATAGGATGAAAGTGAACTGAAAACTCCTCCAGATCCAGTTGGTGCTTGGAGAATCTCACATGAAGACTTCATTAGAATTTTCTGGCTATCTGAGCACAGGCTAACAATTGGTAGTTTTTCTTCTTCTAAGACCCAAACCTACACAGAGAAATTCATATTACCAGTCATTGAAATATATCATAAAATACTTGTTGCAATATAAGAAGAGGGTAAAAGAACAAACTAGCTGAAGGCAAAACTCATAAGAATCACAAATAAGAAGCTGCTGCATAATACACACCACCTCTAACATGTTTAAATCCAGCTCACGTGATGTGATTCATTGTGCTTGTGATCCGTCATTGAAACACAATGTACTATGATTTTCAATTCACATTTTAAAGCTGAATGGATCAGATTTTGCAACTGGCTCTTGCCAAATTGTTTTTTATTACTACGAAACCTGCTGCGGATTGCTAGGTCAGTGCACACAAAAATACACGCATATACACATCACACAGTAACATGCTCTATGCACCAATTTCTATCTTTTCTACAATAATAAGATGGATAATTCTCAATCTTTCCTGGGATAAAGAAGAAAAATCCCACACGACAGGTTGGTCCCAGGCCTGGATCAACTTTCTCATGTTTTTCTCCTGAATATATAGAGAGGCTGATGGTAAATTTCAACATGAACAGTTAGTGAAAATTCATAACTTCAAAGATAGAATTATTGGGCTACAGTAAGTCACTGTTACTAGCTATTTACAGTTTACTATGTCAAGCACTTCTGGTGCAAGCATATGCATGCAGGCAAGGGGGGTGCGTCAGCAATATGTCAATGAAATTCCATATACAAAATTACTAATTCAAGATGTACATAAATTACATACCTCCGCGACAAAACTTGAGTAAGCATCTCCTAATGATCACCCACTTTTGTAATACCATCCTTCAATTGGTTTGTTTGTATTTTCCATTATGGAGATAATTTTCTACAAGTGAGTAGCTTGCACCTCTCAGCTGGACAAGTTGAATTGCAGCCTCACTTGTAGGACCATGGAGGTTTCATATAGGGAGAAAACTTGTACCATCTCAAGAGATTGGTTTATTCATCTCCCCATGTGGGGTTATCACTATTCACTAGTCCTGATTCTCCATGTTAACCAGTAAATCCATAATAAAACATACACATGACATTTGGGTTCTCAAATATAAGTTACAAAGTTTAATATAATTAGAGAAATACATATATTAATAATATTTTGAAATCATAATAAGTTTTACATTACTTCGTATTTAACAGTTAGCAGTTACCACTTTTAGAGACAAGAACAATAACCCAAAACTAATTGGGCAAAGACTACCTAAATTTCAAAGTATTCTTATTAGACATACGTAACTATAACATAACTTTCTCGTTTACTCTCATACAATTACATTAGAAAAAAATTGCAGTAATTAATAGATCCATTTATCATTTAAAACCGTTATAGAAATAACTAGCAGAAAAGTAAGAAGATGATTCAGATGATTCATTTTAGAGGGTTAATAATTTCTAAAGAAACATCCTACAATAAGAAACGTCCTATGTATGTTTAAAAATTACTCTATGTTTTTCTAGTGAAATATAATTATCTCAATAATAATATTTTGGTACCATAATGAATTCCACACCTATATCCCACCCGATTTGGAAAGTAAATAATAATAATAATAATAATAATAATAATAATAATAATAGAGCTAATAAAAACAATTATAATAAATACTTTATATGATTAATTTTTCTACTATTTCATACTAAACTATTAATAATACTCATATCTACGAACTGGTGTTTAGTTGTTTACTAGTACCTTGGAAGACCACCTTCATCAAGAATTTTTTTATCAAGTATTTATTCTCTCTTCTATAACATCTTTGCCCAACATCAATCTCACTTTTCTTAATGTCACCAAGTTGACCAAGATAAATATTATATACGACAACTGAAAAGAAAACTGTAGGGAGTATGTTGTAAATAACTAAATATAAGCTAATACTATAAGACAATATGACAAATAAGGAATACTAACTTGAAGCAGAAATTCAAGTAAAAGGCATAAATAAAGAGATGAGAATAAAAGATAATTGCAAATCAATCCTCATCTAGCGGGCAGTTCTACCTTCTGAGTGTCTATGCCAAAGTGATTTCTATCTGCAAAAAATTCCTCATATGACTGTATCTCATGTGCAGGGGAAACCAAAATGACAGGAATAGATGGTAATCCTTGTATTTCTACCTGCACAGAAATATTTTCCATAAGAAGCATGTTACAGAGAAAACATAATAATTTGTTCAGAATTTTTGAACCTGGATTTGATTTTTAATCCTGATTTAGCTACTCAACTATAAAGGAATCTATTCGAAAATTGTTTAATTTTGGTGGTGGTCAAAGATAATGCTGCATCAAAAAAGAAAAAAGAAAGAAGAAAAAAAAAAGAACAGAGTTGTGTGAAAGAGAGTATAGTGTTTATAATTGTCAGGTGATCTGAGACCACGCTGGTTGGGAATTTGTTTCATACCGCCAAAGTTAACTTCGTTAGTTTACCTTTTGTCAAATGACAAAAATACCCCCAGTAAATTTTGTCAGAAACCCCAATAAGTTCCAAGCTGTCCCTTAACCCCAAAATTTGAGAAGTATTGAGTTTTTTGCCCTAACAAAAATTTTCAAAAATTACAAACAGCCTGAAAAGTCTGAAAATTGCAAACAACCGCATAAATCTGTAAATTGCAAACAGCCCCATGACAACTGTTTATAATTTTTAGATTTTTAGTCCCACAATCAGTTATCCTTAGTAGATAAATAACTTGATCTTTGCTTGATTAATCTTTCCAAATTCTTACCATGTGAATAATAACCTTGACTCCATGATAGTAAAAAAAACTATGCATTTTATTAATTCTTCTATTAAATTTTTGCACATGAGATGTGCATGTAATAAGCAGAAAATGTGTTAACATCTTGTAGAGTTGACTTTTTGAGAGAGAGAATGCAACTCATTATGAATCCTTTACTAGACTTTGTTGTCCTTCACTAGTCTGTGATGTTAGGAAAAATGACGCCATCTTTGCCCAATGCCATCCTTCACTGGATTTTGTTGTCCTGAACTCACTTTACTTAATGTCCAAACATCCTTTACTTGACTCCATGACTAATCCTTTTCTTAATGTCACCAAATCTAGTAGGATAGCCCTCACCACATGTTCATCTCCAAGAGCATTTTAGCAAAGTGACTCCCCTCATACCATATAT